CAGCAAATGACAAACTACCGCTTATTTGGGGCTTTCAAGTGTGCCTTTGGGCAGCCAAAGTTGCCATGGTAATGAATGCCAAGGGTCTACTGCGTAAAAAGGTTTTCTTCACAAGCCTTCTCCCCCACCTCCAGGCCTCAGCCACCCAGCGGGCATCGCCCGAGCCCTCCCTGATGCCAGTGACCACTGACTCCCTGAGGGGCCGGAGCACCTGGCACTGGGAGGCCTGGCTCAGAGCTGACCTTTACCCGGGGCCTAAGCATCCTTGGGGCTTGTGAGAGCGTGCTGGAGAAATTCCAGGCCATGTGGTTTGGAAAGCAATGGAACTAGGAGACCATGCAACCCTCTATGAGATTTACGGTAAGCAACTCAAGATCTGAGGAAAGAAAGTAGATGGCCTGAAAAAACAGAACCTTCACAGGGCTTTGCAGTTGGCCCGGGGTAAACAATACTCAAAGGCCAGCTTTGCTACTGTTCCTTCGGCCTCGGGAGGTGAAGTGGCCAGGCTGGCTGCACTCTTGCGTTTGCATCTCATGGCTCCACCCGGGGATGGGGACAGCTAACGGACAGGGGGTGCTGACTTTGGTGCAAGGGCCACCTCTGGGCCTCAGACATGAGTCTGAAAGCCTTGTTAGGAGGGAGGGGTGGCCATGCCTTCAGTCTCTCTCTCTCTCTCTCTCTCTCTCTCTCTCTCTCACACACACACACACACACACACACACACGCACACACACTCTCTCTCACACACACACACACACACACACACACGCACACACACTCTCTCTCACACACACACACACGCACGCACACACACATGCGCACACTCACACACACATATACACACTCTCACATACATACACATGCACGCACACATACACGCTCTCACATGTAGACACTCAGACACACTCACATACACGCAATCAAGTCACCCTTCCCACAATCTCAGACACAACCACTGACACCCACATCACTTCACACCCAGCCCCACAGCCTCACCCACACACACACCCCACCACAAATATACACGCACACTGTAAAGAACTGGGTGGGTTTCCCAGCCCCCAACTCCACTTCTCCCTGGCTAAACAGCATGTGATTTGAGACACTCTGCCCTCTCTTTGGGTGACCAGGACATGCTGTCCACTGCCCAAAGTAGTACCAGGTCACCCTGACATGGCCCCCAAGGTTTGGCAACGCTGGATCTGAACCCAGAGCAGACAGGCCCTCGGCGGTCATCTGCCTGGTCCTGCGGTTTTCGAGCTGTTTGCAGAGCAGGGCCTCTCCCTGGAGGGGACTCAAAGACCCCGCTGGCTATGAGGCCACTCCGCCCCCCCCACCCCCTCTGCTCCCCTCACAGCAGTTCTGCTTCATCTGCTCTATTCAGTGAGCTTCAGCAGACGGTTTCTTAGGGGGGGGAAATCCTGTTTCTTCTCACTACAAAGAGAGTAAGAGGCATTCGTGCCACCCGCTTCCTGTTAGAGATAAAACAGCTAAGGCAAAGGTCAGGTTAGCCACACAGCTCGTGGGCAGCAGAGTGGAGATGGGGACCCAGGTGTCCTGAAGTTACATTGTAGCCAGTATAGGGCCCTTCACGTGACTTGTCACCCACTGGGCTGCCCTGGACAAACTTCTCAGCTCAGTCTGATAAGTGATGCTTGTGCTGGGCGACATTTCCCCCCGGGTATCCAAATGTCCATAAAGAAAGGCCTTCACAAGTAGGTAACCCCCTGCGGCAGGCCAGGATGAGGTGGGTTTTCACAGTCGCAGAGCAGATCACAGCAAAGCTTGAGCCAGGCCTGGCATCCCTCCCGCGACCGAGGCCAGAGGCCGCGGGGAGCCGGGAAGCACCGTGGGGCATACAACACGACCGACAGACATGTGAGGGGCGTGGACCATTCCAGGAGCTCAACTCCCCAAGGCGAGAAAAGCTTCTTCAGAGGAGCCCTCAGAAATGCCAGGAATGCGAACGTGTTATTTTAAATAATTTCAGCATGATCCTCTCACAGGATCTGGGCAGCATCATGACTGCTCAGGCTAGTCCTGTCTTCATTCTCAGTCCTGTCTTTCCTCATGGCTGCCACCCCCTGCAGGAAGCCCCCAGGACCACGGGGAGGACAGACAGGTCAGCCCCACTCCGATGCTCATGTCCCCGGTAGCCCTGTGGGAGCGTGGAGTGGTCAGGCGGCCATCCTGAGACTGCCTGGGTCAGAGGGCAAGTAGGTCTGGAGAAGCCCCCAGAGGTAGTCCAGGTGGCCCAAGGCCTGCTCTAGTCCCCACCTGGTGCCCTCAGGCAAACTAACTAAAGGTTTTCTTGAACACATAAGAGAGAATTGAGCGTCTTCTCTAGCACACCTCTGGGAGGCACACTCCCAGGGCAGGGAGGGCCTTCTCAATGCCCTTCTCCTGCCCATCTGAGCAACAGCACACAGTGCCCAGGGAGCCCCAGGGCCACTCAGGGAGTGCCTGCCGAGGGTGAGCACAGCCGCAGGTGGACCCGTCACCAATTGCCGGACATCCCCGTGGCCACGTCTCCACCATGAGGCACCAAGCCAAGGCTGAGGGCAAGAAATGACAGGCTGGAACGCAAGAGGCACCTGGGCACAGTGGGGATAGGATCAGACCAGCAGCACCAGGTCCACGGCTCGCTACGCGCCCGGAGCCGGGCCCATACATTGAGTCTCGGGAGGCAGGAATTATCACCCCCACGTCACAGAGTGAGAAACTCGGGCTCAGAGGAGCATTAAGCCACGCCTACAACCACGTCCACTTCATTCCCAAGTTCACGTCCTTAAACAACAAACCCAAAGAGCCCCCGTCTGGGGCCAGGCTCTGTGAGCTGTGTGACCTTGGGACAAGCCAGTCACCTTCTGAAGCCTGGCTTCATCTGAAAGACAGGGACGGTGACAGCAATCACAATAGGACCACCGAACAGGGTTGTCGTGGAGGTTAACGGAGCTTCCTGTGCAAAATGTGACAACAAAGGATCTGAAGCATAGGAAGCCCTCAAGAGACATGGTCGCTACGGTTCTTACTGCTGAAGAGATTGTCCTCTGTGTTCTCTTCTTGGAAAGAGGAAGGGGAGGTCACAGGGGCAGGACAAACCTGACCCATGCCCTGTGGGTCCAGCGCGAAAGCAAGTCTCGAGGCCAGTCCTCCCGGAAGGCCGGGGCCAGGCTGGCGGAAGCTGCCTGGGGAGGCCTCAGTGCCATCATCCTACAGGACCCAGGGAGGTCCTCAGGGGCAGCGAGAGGGAAGGGACTGTCCCTGGCACACTCTCCGTCCCCTGCCCCGGGAACAAGGGGAGGAAGGGGCTGCAGCTGGATCACACGTGTGTCTGCGTGGGTGCGCGTGCGTGTGGAGTGAACAGGAAGGGGGTTGTCAGGGTTGTAACTTCAGGCCCATTAGCATGATGCTCTGCAGGTCCAGCAAGCAGCCTTCCCCACGCAGAGGCCCCGCAGGTGCCATGGCCTGGGCAGGGGCCCAGGTTGGGTGGGTGGGGCAGGGACGAGGTATTAATAGAAGCACCCCGTTCTTCCAGCTCTTGACGACGTGAGGAGCAGCCTGGACATGGGGCCCAGCCAGACAAAGCTGCCAGAGCCGCTCCCCACAGGAAGGAGCATGTGTGTATACAGGGTACCCAGCTCCCAGGCTGGCGAGCCTGGGCCCAGGCCCCCAGAGCAAAGGGGCCCCCGCAGAGATGGGAAACTGAGGCTGAGAGGATCACACAGCCAGGTGTCACCAGGCCTGGCCCTTCTAAAAGCTCAGCTCCCCTTCAGTGAGCTCAGGGATCTCACCCACACCCAGAAACACCCCCCACTGCCCCCCTCCCAGCCACGACAACCCCGTCAGCCCAGGGATTAGCAAACCCAGGCCTGGGGAGAAAGCGGTGCAGCTTATGGTCTCCACGCACGTGAGCCGGGCCAGGAACGAAGCGTATCAATCACTGTGGCAGGGTTAGAAGGAAGCTGCCAGTAGAAAGTGCTGTGCGCACACATGTGCTTCACAAGGTCAGCCCGTACGCCGGTGGCACGAGCCCCCACCCTCCTCCTTGTACCTGCACGGAGGGCACGGAGGGCCACGGAGGTGTGAACAGGGCCCAGCTCAGGCGCCGGCGAGGGGAGCACGTGTCTCCTTCTGCCGGGGCCTCCCCAGCCTGGGCGCTGCACGGCTACTCCTGCCTCCACACTTCCCAGAGCCCACCTGTTTAGGGTTAGCCCCACATCTTCCCCCACACCAAGCACCCCCCAAAGTGGAAATGCACTTCCCCAGACCTCCACACCCCCAGGGCCTGCTCTCTGTTTGAAAGTGAATTGGGCAGTCGATAGTACTTCACGAAACTATTGGTGTGCTATTAATCTGCTCTCTCCCTGGTGACATAATGCCCAAGTGACAAATGTGGATAAGAGGGCTAGGAAGCTCCTAGGCAGCGAGCGAGATGGAGGAACTCCAGCTCTCAGGCAGCCCAGAGGCCGCATCTGATGAGGAAGCCTCGGTCAGGGTCCCAGCCTCTGGCCCCCTCTGCCTCCAAGGCCACGCTGCCCACCCACTTGTCTCCTCAGCGCTGGCCCGAGATGCGAGCCTGAGAGCCTGCAGACTGCCTTAGCCTCTGCCCAGTTCCCCTTTCCCTGAGCTCTTAGGGACCCTCGTTCACCTCCCAGGTCTCAGACTCAACTGTCCATCCCTGCATACGTCCCAAGGGAGTGCAAATATGCGCTGAAATGTGCACGCTGCAGTCCCACTGGGACCCCATGGGACTGTAAACTCTCTGATCACCCCCGCACTCCCCGGCATACATGGGGAGACCAAAGAGAAGGCAGCACTGAACACGCGTGTTTGCAGAACGTAACTGCTCTCTCTCCTCCACCAGCCTTCATGCAGCCTTCCAACCAGGCTCCCTAAGAAAGCACCCACTGTGCGCCAAGCACCACCCTGGGCTCTGGAGAGGCACAGTGAACAAGACAGACAGACCGCCCCCGGAGCTGAGGGAAGAAGATACTCACAGCTCCGTGGACCGCGACAGGATGGCCGACAGGGTGAGCAGGATGCATCCGTAGGGGCCCACCTCGAACTGGGAAGAGGAGAAAGCCATGAGCACCCATCAGGTCCACACCCCCCTCCTCTCACCTCCTCGGGGGCCACAGCCCAGGGAGCAGCCTGACCCTGAGCCTGCTGCCTCCAGCGCACCCCAGCGGTTGCCAGGTGGCCCCAAGGTAGACCTCGTGCAGGTCTCACCAGCCAGACCCCTCAGGGATGGGGGAGCAGCACCCCAGCTGAGCGGCCATGGGAGCAGACACAGTGCTCGCTAAGGAGCAGGCCCTTGACCTCCGAGTCCTGGAAGCTCAGGATACAGCAGTGGCGGCAGCAGCTTCTGTTACCGTCCAAGTGTCTTACGCTCATTATCCCGTTTGGCGCGATCACAGGCCTGTTCCATGAGGACTGTAATGCCCGCCCTCTGCCATATGAGGAAACGGGCGCTCAAAACCGAGCAACTGCCCCGAGGCCACACAGCTGGTGAGCAGCCCAGTGGGCTTCAGGGGGCTCCGTGTGATTCCAAACTCCTGACTCCAAGGAACTGCGCTGCAGGGGAAGCAGCAGAAAGCGAGTTTGGAGCGGCGCCAGGTCAGGACAGGTAGGAGATGAGCCGGGCGAGTGCAAGGGCAGGTCCTGCCTTTTAAACAATGTTTGTATTTTGTTCCTCATGGATTGTGCTTAGATTAACTTTATTATTTTTCAGATATTACTTGAAGATATTACTTATGCTGATTACTGAGGTTTGGGGCACCCCCTTGAATTTTGCACCCAAGGTGAGCCCCTTACTCGTCTCCCCCTAGTCCCATCCCTGGTTTGTGGCCCAGGGCCTGGAGCCCGGCCGCCTGGGTTTACATCCCAGCTCTGCTGCTCCTAGCTATGTGACCACATCTTCTCATCTATAAAACACGGACAATAATAACAGGACCTACCCTCACCAGGTTCTTGTGAAGGTTAAGTGAGAGCATCTTTGTAAAGCACGTAGAATGAAGCCCAGCCCCTGGTAGCTGTTACTATAATGCTGGCTTCACACTGCCCACCTGTCCAGTGAGCCCAGCAGGCCACAGCCTTCGGGAATGGGCTATATCACGTTGGCTCCCTGAAGAAACGCCACCCCCCAGCTGCAAATCAGTGTGAAGACCTTAATCATCCCACTTTAGCGACGCTACCACTTGTGTAAACTGTTGTTGAAAATGCTGCCTTTTAAAATCGTTAGTGTGACTTACATGTGATCAGTTTTCCTTTTGGACTTAAAGTTAGAGGGGGAAAAAAAAAAGCTTGTTTTCCTGGAACAATAAGAATTATAGAATTTATCATATTTCCATTTTTGCCTTGGCTGCCAGGAAGCTCAGAGCCAAATATGGTGCTCAATTGTGGTAATTATTTTTAGCTTAAACTTCTGATAAAATTATTTCTTCTTTTCCTCAAACTATAGTCTTTATTTCATCCAGTGATTCAATTAATCATTAAAAAAAAAATACCACGTGAACTTTCTGTGTCAAGAAGATGCTACCTGCTAAAGCTATACCTGCGAACAAGGTAGACATAGATCTGCCCGAATGAGAAGTAACTTAGGAAAGAAAGAACAATAAGCAACTGAAAACGGTGAGGAAAGGGCTCTTCTCTGATGGGAAATCCAAGGTCCTCTGGAAACACACAGGAAGGGCCTTTGATACAGACACAGGATTTCGTGGCCTTCAGGAGGGAATGTCAAGGAAGGCTTCCTGGAGGAAGTAATGTCTAAACAGAATCCCAAGGGCCAAGGAGGAATCAGAAGAGAAGGGAATGCTGTTCCAGGCAAGAGAAAAAGCACGTGCAAAGGCCCAGAGGCCAGGGAGAGCAGGTTTACAATGGTTAGAACACGGGAAAGTCCTGAGGACATCATGCTTTTAATAATAACTTTAAATCTGTTTTTTTGGAAGTAGACATGGAATGAATGAATCAATAACAATCTTAAAGCAACGTCATCTTATTTCTGGAACATCAGGCCAGTCACTTTACTCCTGTGGTTCTCATTTTCCCCTTTTGCAAAACGAGGACCATCGATTTATGGGGCACATTTTATGAGGCCATGTCTGTGGGCATTTTCTGACAACGGCAAAGGGTGATGCTGACATCGTCGCACAGTGGGGAACACAGGCCCGGGAGGACTTGGGCCACCAGTGCCCGTGTCACTGCACTGCTACAGACCGGCATGTTGCCATGGAGTAGCAAAGCTCTCTAAGCCTCGGTTTCCCCTTCTGTAATGCCTACTGGCTCTGCCACAGATTTCCATGTCACCCTGTGGAAGTCACAGACTGGCCTGTTGCCTTAGGGCAGCGGTTCTCAACCTGTGGGTCGCGACCCCTTTGGGGGTCGAACGACCCTTTCACAGGGGTCGCCTAAGACCATCAGAAAACAAAAAGATATTTAC